CAAAAAGAAACCCTCCGTGGACTGCAGTCCGCAAGCGAACTATAACGACCGAGCGATTGTCGCTTGCCTGCGAAGTTAGTGCCAACTTTAGCGGATAGAGGGTGTCGCGTGGTCAGCGGACGAATCCCCACGGCTGTTAATTTCGGTGTTCTAGACCGAAGCCGCTATTTTCTTGAAATAGCTCCTCGATTATGCTCACGAGGCTGAGTGGATCCCGTTCCAGATCCACTACTTCTCAGAAAATGTGGTAGCGCCGAGAATCGAATCCGGACCTCTGGATCTGTAGCCAGGAACTCTGATCACTAGGTCACAGAGGCGGTCGCAGTGCATACACACAAAGTGTAATAACACATGTATGTGTGTATATATATATATATATATATATATATATTCTACATGCCTGTGCCTCCCCCTCCCCTAGCTGACCCCTTGAAAATTATATCGCATGTTTCGTTCAGATATAATTATTATTCTCTGTCAAGGAAAAATTTGTGAAATGGTACTCTGTATTTATCATGGAACCAAAGCATAGACCAAACTGAACAATGTTCACTAACTGTGCCGCGCTGAGTAGGCAACTTGTCCGGCAGAAAACTGAGACAGGTTGTCTAAGCTTCAGGTAATATCCCTTCTTCTTAATGCGTATGACCGCTATGTTTCCGTGGCCGAATTACTTACACCACCTGTTCTGTTATATAATTGTATGGTGAAAAGTTGTGCTGTTAAAGTGTACAAAACAGTTAGGTTTGCTGGTAACTGCAAATTAATTTCTTAAACACCAATGAATCGCAGGCCAGAAGAGCCAGAAGTTCAGAGTACAACATCTCTAACGCCATAAGCAAACAGTTGCTGAGGTTGGATTGATTAATCCCTGCATTATTTAGAGATATATTTTTAACTGCAATAGTTACACAATTTCGACAAAGGAACTGAAAGCAGAAACTAAAAATGTATCGCCGTGGGTGAAGGCCAGACCTTGTATTACGTGTCTAGAAATTAAATAAAGGTCAGCACAGAATTTTACAGAAATCGAGCATGTAGTTCGGGCTTTATTACATGAGGACATATGAACTTGTCAAACATAAGAGATAGCTTTCATATTTCTTTCCAGAATGCCTTTTTGAAAACGTTTATGCTCTGTCATTCTTCCACTAGCGTCACTTTTTTTTTCTTGATTTGCGATATTGCGCCAGTTCGTAATAACACACTCTCTTTGTGTAAAATTACAATATTTCTTACGAAATTGACGGGGACGCGCGGTAGCGTAGTTGGTTGAGGCACTATGCTACAAAACCGGGACGTCGTTGTTTCGATTGCCGACGAGGTCATTGGGTTTTTCAATTGGCCTAATCCTTCCAGCCACACTATGGTCGACTAAGCCCCTAACAGAAATGACTACCAGGAATCTTCCTGGGGCGGTAAAGGGCGGCCGGCGCGTAAGGCTGAAAACCTCATCGTCATCTGTAAGCCGATTGTCTATATGTGGGAGCCTCGACGTGTCACAATCCTATGGGCTTCCACGGACTGTTACAGGGATAGTTTTAGCTTACCTTACCTTATGAATTTGACACACTTCAGTTATGGCTATGTAATAGATTTATTTGGATCTAAATTTGGCCTTATAACCCATCAAAATGGGAGTCGGGGTACCGCAGTCGGTATAACGACTAGCTACGAGCTGGATGGCCGAGAGGTCGGAGTTCGAGTCCCTATAGTATAACAAATTTTCTCTCCTCCACGTTGTTCAGACCGGCCCTGTGGCGCACCCAGCCTCCTATCCATTGGTTACCGGGGTCTCTTTCTTCGGGGACAAAGCGGCAGGGGCGTGAAAGTGGCCATTAACCTCCAACTAGTACCGAGGCCAAGAAAATATGGCTCTATACGTCCACTTCTCCATACGCCTTCATGACGTAGTGCTTAATTAGTTAAACAAAGGGACAATTTTACCTTTTGCCCTTCAAAATATAATATTTTTCTCATGACACTTTTAGTGTTATGCAAATGTAACTAGTGAAAATAAACTCTTCAGCTGATGTAACGTTTCTACTTTGCTTAGAGAAGTCGGTACGTAAGGAAGGATATCTTAACGTGTCTGTAGGAATGGTTGTATTTCTCCTTATGTTACACGTGCTGTTACTTTCCATCTCGTAGCACGGGGAGCCATATTGAATTCAGGTCCAGGCTTGTTTGTCTGCTGACCTGCCCTGTTGTCCTGATGGATACCGACACCTTCAGTTTCCTGTTGATCCCGCTGGTACTGCTTCTGACTGAAAGTCACACAGTATCGACAGGAAGGCCTATATTGATATGAAATTGTATTAGTGCCCATAGTATTGATTTCCGCTGATGCAGTCCTATGAAATAGGGTTCCAAAGAAGGAAACTCGTTCCTTTAGAACTCAAAATAAAAGCCAACCATTGCTGTAGTGGTAGTAACATATAAAGATGCTGAACCTTGCAGCAAGCTCACGTGTAGCAACCCTCTCTGATCTGTGAAACAAAATGAACTCAGAAAATTCTGTCTTCTGCAATATAATACCGTGTAATCCGATGGAGGCCAATTGACATTTCGAAGGAATACATCACATCCATCTTCAGGATCGAAGAATAAGCCAAGCAAGGAACCAGCATGAAGCAAGAAAGTCAGAGCTTCACTCGCTGCCTGCTTCAAGCTAATTTCTTGCTTTGATTATTCCCTCCTCTGATGATGGAGACGATATGTTCCCCCGAAACCTCGGTTGGTTTTCACCAGAATAGATGGTGTGATATCCCAGAAGACAGAACTTTTCACAGCCAACACTGCGAGGATCTCAAATTCTATTATCTATGCCTTACAGACCAAATTCCAAATTTCACACCCACAAATTATAAGTAAAAATTGTTGTCGTCTGTATTTTAATCTTCATTTCTTTATGTAGCAGACAGGAAAACAAACGATTCTGAACCCAGCAGTAGTATCGCAATTTTTCATGAATATATGTGTAATAAAGGGATAGCACGGAAATGGAATAAATATTCTGACGTAGCAGACACGTAGCTGAATACAGCATACGACACTTTTAAATTAATTTAAAATCAACTTTTAATCTTCAAGTTTCAGTTCCATATGCGTGTGTATCTTGTATTTAAATCAACATCTAGATGCTAGAATATAAATTAACATGGAAAGTAGTTAATTTAATTTTATATGTGTAAATATGTATACACGCTTTGTAACTCAATAATGAAAATGTGTAGATCAGAATACCTGAGGATGACCCTATAATGGTTGAAACATGCAGTGGAATATAAGTTAATAAATTATAGTTGCGTTGAAGGTGGAATTTGAATTATTAGTTATACTCACACAGCAAAATGCAGTCATTAAAAATAAAAAAATGTATATTCTGGAGCGGTGTAATACACCGTATTACCTTCAAATATAGAATTGAACTTCAAATATAATGTGATATTCCTGGCGTCATTTTTGTCTTTTATCCTGATTCAAATCTTTTCATTGTACAATTCCGGTCTTAGGAGTTGTAAATTCAGCCAGTCTGCCTCTCTAACGCCGCGTAACTGGATATGCGCTGAAGTAAAAAGAAATCGTGTCTTTTAGTCCGCTAGCGAACTATACCGACAGAGCGACTTCGCCCACCATGAACTAATATTTTTATAACTGGGTAACTGTTGTCTGTTGTCAGTCAGCGTGCTACCACTTCCAACAACAAATTTAAAACTTCTCAGAATCTCTAGAAGCCTGGGTTATTGCCATCTTCGAAATCCTAGCGCAATCGATTGGAAAAATCATAATCCTAATATATTTTTGGCTGCACCGTTAGGAACATTCTGTGTCTTCAAATTTCTGATAATTGGGTTATGATCTCAATACTAAAAAAATATTTATTTAGGTCTGTTTGTGTTCATATAATTGAAATTTATGTCGTATTAACCCCTCATATTAATTAGCTAAACTTATTAAAATTGAAATTACAGATTAGTATACGAGAAATTACCTAACCATGTACCCTCACTAAAAATTAAGAGAGATTTTTATGTCCTCCTGATCATTTTACCCGTTATATACGAAAACATGTACGTATTTTATCGTTGTGTATTTTAGTTGCCAAACAAACCCGTCCTGTATACTACTTCTGCTGGTTTCCTGCTTCTATTATTTTCGATCATGAACATGGAAGTTGTATGCGAAATATCAAACTATTTCCTGATTACCGCGAACGATGTTNCCTATTCTGTTGGGTCCGTTAGAAAGAGCTAGCCTCAATCACTGTTATTTGTTATCTTAAAGCCCATCCTGTATACTACTTCTGCTGGTTTCCTGCTTGTATTATTTTCGATCATGAACATGGAAGCTGTATGCGAAATATCAAACTATTTCCTGATTACCGCGAACGATGTGGAGGCCCAGCAGACCGTAGTGTTCGTAGTCACTGTCGTGATATTCTCAAATCCAACTTTACTTTAACTTTTCTGTACCCCTAGATCAAAACTGCATAATGAGGAGCTTCATAACCTGTACTGTTTTCCAAGTATAATTAGGATTATGAAGTCAAGGAGGATGAGGTGGCAGGGCATGTAGCACGAATGGGGGAGAGGAGGAATGCATGTAGGATATTGGTGGGAAACCTAGAAAGAAAGAGACCAGCGGTAAGACCAAGGTGTAAGTGGATGGACAATATTAAAATGGATCTTAGAGAGATAGGATGGGATGGTATGGATTAGATTGATCTGGCGCAGGATAGGGACCAGTGGAAGGCTCTTGTGAACATGCAATGAACTTTCGTGTTCCATAAAATGCTTGGAAATTCTTGAGTAGCTGTACAATTTGCAGCTTCTCAAGAATGGCACAGCTACATGAGTGAGCAACCCTAGATCCCCAAAGTGGTAATTTTCGAACAAAAATGCTACCCCCGTTCGTGCTACATGCCTAATCCACCTCATCCCTCTTGTAGTTGTAAGTGTAATCAGCTTCTCATTTCGGATGGTCTTGTCTTTGTCCAGGAGAGTATGGAAGACGGCGGCCCGTCGGACAGTGACGGCGGTTGGGACCTGTCCAGTATGCGGGAAGACGAGTTCGAGCAGCACGTGGTTTACATCGTGCCCGACCTGCCCACGGAGCCGGGCTGCCCCAACCGTGCAGAGAGCTCCCTTCCCCGCAACTTGGTTCTCAAGCCGTCCCAAGCACTCAGCGACGTGAGTACCATACTGAGAGGTCCTAAACTTTGTCTAAAACGTATTTCGGGGTACGCCATGCCCTGAGTAGGCAGCCTTACAGGCTGAACAAGAGCTCCGGTAAGGCAATTCACGTCCCCATTGTATGCTGCAAATAAAATTTAATAACGTCTTAATACTGACGTAACCATCTACGTCACTGTTTGATGATGACGCTACCTAAGAAATGTTTTAGACATGTAATAGTATGAATAGAGTATCACAGCATTTCAGACTGTATCTATTTTCGTCAGCACAATGTTTTATAGATATAAAAGGTGGTAAGTAATTAACGCACCCAACAGGAAACCCAACGCTTGGAGGATATAAATACACAAACCTGGCCCTCCAGGCTGGGAGAGTCTCGAGTCTGAGCAAGTAATGGTCATGAGCCCCGCTGGACTCGAACCTGAGAATAACTGCGCTGGCGAGGACCAGAAGCAATTGTAAACGACAGACTTATCCTCTCATCAGAGAGGATGTTACATAAGGACTATAACCGCAAGTGTGCAGCTGGAAAATAAAATTCTGGTCGTGGTTCTCAAGGGGGTTGTCGCCAAGAGGAACTGATTGGCCGTAAACCACCAGTCGTAAAGTAACTATGACTCTGACGTACAGTGTATTTACATAAAAGTTGAGCTGCGGAAAGAAATATAAGCTATAATATAATAGTATATGCACTCGAAACACCTCATAAAGGCATCGATCTCCCACTTGCAGCGACCCTGAGAGAAGTTATGACCATCACCGTATTTCCCTCACACTTCGACACATTGGCCCACTTTCAGAACACATGATGTTAGTCGCTTGATTTTCGTACCTGTTTTCTTGCACAAACAATGCCGGAGTAAGCAAGCTGATTCCAGCGGCAACAGTTCTGAATTGTATTAGGGAGGTGCCTGGTTCGGATCTATGACTCAAAACGGACTGTTCACCACTGCTGTAAACACTAGTGCCCTCAGTCTAGTACAGTTTCCACTATCCGTTTCCTAACAACTGATTTTAACACAGGAACTATAACAGGATCACTGAATTACACACTCCAAATATCGTGGTACTGTAGCAAACGTAAAGTCTTCTCTTCATTGCCAGGCTTTGAACTCCACTGAACTGCATTCAATAATTCTGATGCCTTAATCCATCAATTCAACTCCCTACTCCCAAGCTCATATTTTGGCGGGTTGGCGTGTCGCAACTCAACTAACTAGTCGCCATTTCTTCTCAATCATCTTCGACTGCTGTCTCAAGAGACTCCCTTAATTCTGTATCAGCTGTCTGAGATCCTCGTTCTATAGACACCACCCCCCCCCCCAGAAAACACCGTTTCATAACAATTCCTTTGTTATTATAGAGGAATGTTTACCTCGCCGTTCCATAGAAACAGTAGTAATTCTATTGCTGCTTGCCTGTTCATTTCCAGGGAAGCTACTTACCGAGTCGTTGCCTAGCAACCAACGTCTACTCTAACTCCACTATTCCGGCTTTCAGGCTTCATGTCACAATATATTGCGCACTCGAGTATCTGTAGTTGTGTGAATGGGACACATAGACTACATCTGAAGTACTTACAATTTCAGAGCGGCCAGGAACTTGAGAAGAATGGGCATGCCATAGCTCAAGCGGTTAGTCAACGGCTTACAAACACGGCGGTCCGAGTTCGAGCTTAGGTCATGTCATGTGGGATTTGTGGTGGACAAAGTGTCACTTGAGTAGGTTTTCTCAGAGTACTTCGGTTTCTCTTCCCAATTCTCATTTCACCGAGTGCTCCACTTTCATCATCATCATCATCATCAACTACCATCCGGAGCTGGCAACAATAAACCATTTAGCGGCCGACGTACCACGTAGACTCTCATCCCACCCCAAGGAACTAAAAAGAACTGAGAAGCTTGGAGTTGCAAGAACGCGAACTGCAACGGGAAAATGACCTGGTGCCTGGACCTGGAGTTCAATCTTTCTGCTGTCTGCTGAATTTCAAACTCAACAGAATGTGAATTAGAGCGAAGGAACTTTTCTATCAGCTTCACAGAACTACGAAGTCTTAGTTAGTCCAACTCGGCAATGGAGTCCGTAGTATGAACAGAATCCTTTAGTTTCCAATCTGGAAGTATTA